TCAAAAATGGAAGTGCTCCCACAGGTACATTATTACATGACTTTTGTTCCATATCAACCCAAATTGTTTTTGTGTCTTCAGTTAGCTTACTGCCTTTTAAAGCCTATTTATTTGGAATCTACCAACTGTGAGCCTGATCGCTGCTTGACATCCTCTTATTCTGCCTCCTTAACTTGTCTATCTTTGAGTATCATGGAGTGACCGCACCCTTCATGAAAAACTTTAAAGGTCTTAAGGTTATTATCTCATGGCTTTTCTTCACAGCGTTTGCTGTTAATGTTTTAATCAACTAAATGTTTCGCTTGTTTTACTTTGTATTCTCAGTGGAATAAAAGCGGCCTACATTTTTTCATAAGACCAGTCAGGCCAGTTTCACGCTCTTAAAGGAGTGTCATTTAGAGCTGAAATCATTTTCGTTGCAGGACAGTATACACTTTCCTCTGAGGGAGTTTAACACGAGTGGACGAGGATGAAATGTGTCGTGTTTCTGGGGGTTCTGACCTTTGTGCAGAGTATTGCCAGAGGAGGTGAGTGAAGTGTTTACTGCTTGTTTTATTCCAGTCTGAAACACATATAAAAGGCATGTTTGAACTCGGTTGAATACATTGTCATGTTACCTTCGGCAATGGAATTTATGATGACCAAAAGTCCTTAAAGACATGAGCTTGTCTTTGCGCACCATCATTCAATTGTTGAGTAAATGATGTATTTATGCTGCTAACTTGTTGCTATTGCTGCATGAACTAAACATTTCAGTATTAAGGTTCAGTGTGATAATCAGTTGTTCTGCTGCTGTACACTGACTGGTCAAATGTAAATTAATTAAACTAAATTAAAACATGAGGAAGAAGGAGTACCAGAAAATGAATCCAAGTTCATTTCGAGTTAAAACAGTCAAGTAAAACTTTACAAATAAACATGGTATCTAGCTATTCAGATAGTTTGGTCATATGAGTCAAATACATTTCAACATATCCTCTGGAGAAGTCATGATTGAGTTTTACTCAAAGACACACACACACACACACACACACAAACACACACACGAGAGCTTAGCACATTCCTGGGTTAAACCATGTGCAGCAAGTAGAGCCTGTTTTTCAACCTGCAGCATGCTTCTCATTCCTGTGTGTGTGTGTGTGTGTGTGTGTGTGTGTGTGTGTGTGTGTGTGTGTGTGTGTGTGTGTGTGTGTGTGTGTGTGTGTGTGTGTGTGTGTATTTATTACTACTGTAGATTATTACTAATAAAGGAATATAATATAAATGCATTCATATCTTGTGAAACGGCTTTTACTTTCATCCTCTATCTTCGCTAAAAGCTTATTTTATTTAATATTCTTAGCAATGTTACTTTGATGTTGTTTTTAATGCAGGTCACCTTAGAGGTTCCTACAGGTCTGACAAAATGTTTCTACAGGCAATATTCAGTTATGTTAGTGAATCTAACTATAAACAGGAACATGAATAATCCGATGACAGTTTGGCTGAACTAACATTTGATGCATGTCTCTTCACCAGTTGTTGCAAAGGAGGAGGTATCCTGTGTTTTCAATGAGAGCTGCATCTTACCCTGCATCTTTAAGGCTGATCTCAGGGATGATGTGGTCATCCAATGGAAGCAGGTTTCAACACCAGAGGCTACAGTCCACTCTTTTTACGACAATGTGACACAGACAGACCACCAGGACCCACACTTCAAAGGCAGGACAGCACTGTTCAGGGATCAGATTTTTGGAGGAAACGTGTCGCTCAAACTGGAAAGAGTGGAGATTTCAGATGAAGGCACATACAGATGCTACGCCAGCATCGAAGGACGCAACCCTCATGATGTACTCATCAAACTAAAAGTGGACGGTATGAGAAACATTATTTAGAGCACATCATATGTTTTAGGCAATTTTTCCCATTTGTTTTAGTCACTCCATTTTAGAAAGAAATGAAGTAACATTTTGACGGTGTTGTCACGGCCTTCATTCGTCTCTTGTCTTACAATCTTATGGGAAACTTAAAATGTTCATTGCAAATCAGCCATGAATATATATTTAACAATTCTATAGAAACAAGTGAAATAAAAGGCCTGTTAAATCCTTTATCCATTTCATTTTTTACCACGTTTTTAGCGATTATTTCTTTTTAAAATGTCAATCCTCTGGTTTAACTGCTGTTAAATACAAATGGACCTGCTTGAAAATCCATATTGACATAAGAAAGCGAAACGTTTTAAATATGTTTTTTTGGGAAATAAATAAGTGTATGTCACCCCTTTAAAATGACTTCAACCTCTAAAGAAATGACACATAAAGAAAATCCTTTTTGACGTCTTTTTTTTTTCTTCCAGCTCCAGTTCTTAAAGTGGACATTCAGCAAGCAGAAAATAAGACCACCTGCAGCTCAGAGGGAATCTACCCTGAGCCTCAGCTCACCTGGTCCATTGACCCCCCGCCCAACGAGACCCTCCACATCAAAACCTCGGTCCATCAGACTGAGCAGAAGCTGTATAACATCCAGAGTTCTCTGAACATCACAGTTACTGATGTGAACTACATCTGCACCGTCAGCACGGGCAGAAACAAGATGGCCGCCACTTTGGTTAAACTAAGTAGGTGTTGCTATAGACACTGAATCTGAAACCAATGTTTGATAAGAAATACCAGACATTTTATCTTGTTTCGTCAGATAGAGAATGGAGAAATGTAAAAAATCTTGTAAAATAAGCTCATTGTTTGAAGTTTGCCAATCTGATTCAGCGGTTTAATCGGCTCAATTCGGATTGACAGTCCGAACAAACGCTACTCTCACTTTTTGTGCTATATCATTTCAGTTTCTCGTAGTAGTCCCAGCACAGGAACAACAATGCACTGCGCCTCTTCAAAGAGTCCTCCAACAGGCCTCACCTGGAGGTTCAACCACAGTCAGATCATCGTGAGTGATGGGTCAGTGATGGAGGGATGGAGGCAGCAGGTGAAGAATGTGTCTATGTCCGGAGACCTCACACTGAAGGATTTATCGACAGATCACAATGGGACTTACACCTGTGAGCTCCGTAATGCTGAAGGGACATACGTGACCAACACCTTCCTGAGGATAGAGCCCAGTCAAGGTAAGATATCCCAAGTCAGGAAGTCTTAGTGTGTGAGGAAGAACTTAACAAAAACACACCGGTTTGAATTTCTAGCTCCAAAATTGTGGAATATCAGGAATGCAGGAAACATACTTATCAAATGTTCTTAAATAAGGAATAGAAAGAAGTTGCAATCAACTTAAGATAGTGAACAAATTAGAGATAAGACAGAATAGTACATTTGAAATTTTCTTGCAAATGTTATGCATAACATACTCTTTTTCTCTTTCAGGGAATGTATCCAATCTAATATGCATAAGCTTGCTGATTATACCCATTGCTGTAGCTCTTGTTGGTATGCTGGTCTACTGTGAAAAGAAAAAAGGTGAAATCACATTCTGCATTCAGTTTTATCCTTTTAATTTTGATAAAGAATAGTTGTATAAATCAGCTATTTAGTTTAGGCTTCAAAACCCATTTCCTTGGAGTTAAATGTTCATGGGTAAATACCTCTATACATGAAGAGAGACAAACAAAACAAATGATAATGAATATCACTATTGTTATCAATTGCAGCAATTTGACTTGAATTCACAAAAATAAAGGCTATTTACTTTTTCTAAATACGATATCTGTTTTTCAGTATGTTTCTGGAGCAGCAAAGAACCTAAAGAAACAGCAGAACCACGCGAACTGGCGCAGATGAATAAAAACGAAGATGAGCAGTAAAAACTAAAACAGCTCAAGACGATGATCTTCTCCACAAAGGATGAACTTGGATGTGCTCTGGTTTTGTGAACACCACCTTTTTGTCCTCCAGTTTCAATCCAATATGTTTTCAAAGCTCTGCACTACAATATGCTTTTCTTGAAGGACTACGGGTTATGAAGTAGAGCAAGTTACTTTTACTTATGTCCTCAGACTAAACGGTGAAGAAGAAGTTATAAAAATAGACTCACAGAGGATGTCGGACTACAATAGAAGTATGTCTGGTCTGTAAAAAACACAAATCAGATAAGAAGGTGTTAAAGTTATCAGACACATTTTTAATATATGCAGGAAGTAGTTAACTATGGTGCTAATACATTGATATGAAGGCATTGTGATACACTTTTGCAGCTAAAAAAGGGATTTATAATGACATAAAAGGCCCTGAGATTGTGATGTTTCAATTAGCTTCTCGCTGTTAGCGATGGGGTTAAATTTGTTTATGCTTTTTTTGTTAACATTCCAACCTCCATGAGATATGTATTTATTTGGGTGGTTTGTTGAAGTGTTAAACTGTGGTACTGCCTGTGAAGTTTCATTATTGTTTTTTTTGGTTGCAACTTCAATATTTGCTTGGAATTATTCCCTCTTGTCTCCGTTGAATTTATTGGTAAAGGTAATGTTTTGTGTGATGGGTTCAAACCTCAAATATGGCAACTATTTAAAAAATAAGAAACAATACATTTCACATTTATGGAGTGTTATGGAGTGATATGAAGGAAAATCCAGAATCCCCCTCTGTAAAAACCTTTGACTATAATGTGTCAACAAAATAAAACAAGAATTTCGAACCTGAATTTATCCAATGTTCACATTTCTGTTACAGTAATGTATGCATATTAGCACAAATTAATGAGAACATGTTATGTTAGTAACCAGGTAGGAAGTTTCACGCTGATATCTATTAGTTATCTTTTTTACCCTATTCACCGGGTGTATAAGGGTTATTAGATCTTCTTATGACATGTTGTAGCCTCCATCTTTTCCTACATTATGGCTGAAAAATACTAATCTCTTATTTTCTCTTGAAACTGTAAAACCACATTTTAAACCGGATTATAAAACATGCCATACTCCATTAACGAGTTAAGCCCCCAAGACACAGCGTCTGAGGGCTTCTTAACATTTAACAAACACAAAAATAATATTAAAGGATTTTAGTGAACATTTTTATTCAAATCACACAAACAAAATTATTGAAATAGTAATATACTAATTAAGTTATTCACTCCATATTTAAGTCACACAGCTATTAAGGCAGGCGAGGGTTTATTTCGCTGTAGTCGTAGGGGTCGCCCTGGAAGGGCAGGGGGGGTGGGATGTTGTAGACACCCATGAGGAAGATGATGACGGTGCCGATGGTCATCACCGGGGTAACCAAGAAGAGACACAGACGGTCCACCGTTCGGGCGACACCGCTCCAGTTATCCTTCTCCTGAGGGGAGAAGGGGGAGAGTCAGGGGGTGGGTTCATATACAAGTAGAGAGAGAGGGGAGAGGGAGGAAGGTACGTGGGGGTGCAGAAGACAGAGGGAGTCTGAGAAAAGAAAAGGGGGGAGAGTAGGGGAAAAAGAGAGAGTGGGAGAAATGGAGAGAAGGAGGGAGGGAACGGAACAAAAGAAAGTTGGAGAGTAACTGAGGAAAGGGAGAGAGATGGAGAGAAAAGGAAAGAGGGGGCTAGGAGACAGAGAAAAAGAAAAGAGGGAGAGATAAAAAGAGGCGGAGGGAGGGTCAGAAGGAGACGGAGCAAGAAAGAGGGAGTATGAGCGAGGGGGGGCAGCGGGATGGAGAGAACAGGGCAGAAAGAGAGAGGAGTTTTTCCGTCCCCACCGTCTCACCTCGTTGAAGTCGTTCTTGTTCCTCATTTGTTTGATGATGTAGTTCGCTCCGTCCACCGCCGGCTTGATCTCCGTATACAGCTGATCCGTCACCCCGTCATCAGCCTGAGGCTTCACAACTACACACACACACACACACAGACAGACAGACAGACAGACAGACAGACAGACAGACAGACAGACAGACAGACAGACAGACAGACAGACAGACAGACAGACAGACAGATA